CGTCAGCAGCAGTGCCACATCAGCAGAAGTGCCGCATCCGCAGAGTGCCACATCATCAGACTGCCACATCAGCAGAGTGCCACGTCAGCACCAAGGCTGAGGTTGGGCTATGCTCCGATGCAGCACACGAATCGCAGCACAACACAGCTCTGCATCTCCCACACCTGACGTCGCAGTACGTCAGCAGCCTCCTGCCCATTGCCAGCAGCCAGCAACCGCAGGCATGGCCTCAGCAGCAGCAGCCGCAGTGAGCCCACCTGCGAGCGCATCATCCCAAGGGGCACCTGGTCTGGGCCTGGCCGGTCTAACAGGGCAGGGGCCCAACGAGACCGTCGAGGCCTACCTGCTTCGCGTAGCCAACTTTTTGACCTTCGTCAATGAGGAAAAGAAGCGCCGCGACGAAGCAGAGGCCACTCGCATCCATGCAGCCGAATAAGCAGCAGCGGAGCAGCGACGACAGCAGGCCGAAGCCGCAGCAGCAATCAACCAACTCCAGAGGGCCGCTTGCGCGACACTGCAGCAGCGAGAGATGGAGTATGCTGCAACACTCAGAAAATGGCACTTTACACCGACGGACAACAACAGCAACCTGACGGACACCGAGAAGACCAAGGAGGACATCGCCATGATGATTGCACAACTCATCGCAACGTGCAATTGGCAGCAGCAGGAGCTGCAGCGCTTGGCGCGGGTGATTGACAGCAACCGGGACCAGCAAGATGACACCAACCGCGGCTTTCATACCCGCATTGAAGACTTGGAGCACTTGGATGCCGCCACACCAGGTGGCGAATCTCGTACCCGCCAGTCGTCAACAGGACAGCTGGAGCAGCGGATCAACCATGTGGTTGCCACAATTGGCAATCTTGGCACGTTCGCGGAACCAGAAACGATCAGTCATCAGATTGCCTCGTTGACAAGTGGTTTCCGTACGCTGCAGCAGCGACCATCAGGTAGCAGCGACCAGCGTCCGTACAATCTGCCGAACTTCAACATTGAGATGCAAGGAAGGAGTTGCTGTCCTTCGTCACAGTACTAAAACGTTGGCAACACTTCCTCCTCGGTCGTCGTAGGTTCACTTGGGTAACAGACAACAACCCATTGACCTACTACAAGACGCAAGACACGGCACGATCAGAAGATGGATGTACTTCATGGACCAATTCGACTTCACGCCGAAGCACATCTCGGGTCTCTCCAATCGAGCGGCAAATGCTCTTTCACGAAGAGCTGTTCTTTGCGCATTGATCCACCACGCCTTTGACTTTGACAAAGACCTACATCAGCATTTTGTGCGCGTATACGAGACAAATCCGGAGTACGCCACTCTCTACGAGCAGTTTTCTTCGGACCACCCGCCGGCTAGCCACCACCGCATTGCCGACGGGTACATTCTTCTCCATTCACGCTGCAAGGACTTGCTATGCGTCCCACGAGACCTTCGATTATGGAAACGCCTCCTTGGTGAGTACCACGATTCGCGGCTGGCAGGACACTTCGGAGTCAGCTGGATGATTACTCGACTTTGCCAACAATTCTGATGGTTCGATGTCATCACCAACATCACACGGTATTGCGAATCTTGCGAGGTTTGTCGACGCAACAAGCCCCACAACCGCAACCCGTACGGCGAGTTGCGCCCCTAGCCAATCCCTCGGGAACCTAGATTGTCTGTTGCCATGGACGTCACTGGACCCTTCCCACGAGATCGCCTCGGGCACGACATATCCTCACAGTCGTTGACCGACTCAGTAGCACGGTTTATTCCTTGCAAGTACCATGTGACGGCTCCCGAGCTTGCGCAACTCTAGCACACCGGCTGGATTTGTAGCCACAGCGTTCCGGAAGACATCATTAGCGACCGCGACACTCGCTTCATGTCGGCATTTAGGACTTCGTTTATGAAAGAGTCCGGCACCGAGATGAAACCGAGTTCGGGTCGGCATCCACAAACGGACGGGCAAACGGAGCGGGCACATCAAACCGCTCAAATGATGATGCGTACTCTCATCCGTCCGGACCAGAAAGATTGGGTTGACCGCCTCCTCGGCATCGAATTCGCCTACAACACTTATGTGCATCCAGCGATTGGAGTAACTCCCTTCGGTGGCCGGAAAGGTCGTATCTTCGCAGATCTTCTATTCCCTTGGGAAGCCGACATTGAGGCCCCTTGCTATCACGCCTCTGTTTGGAAGTACTGGGACTTGGTGGCGAAAGCCGGCGTAAACATGCAAAAGGCTCAAGCCCGCATGCAGCAGCATGCCAATCGGTGTTGCATGCCATGTCCTATTCACGCAGGCGACCTTGTATGGGTTTCCTCGGAGGAGTCCGCACTTGAACAAGATGTCTCGTGCAAACTCCTCCCCAAGTGGTTTGGCCCATGGACCGTCACATCAGCCGCAGGCAACGAGCCCGATGGCCCATCGGTCGTGATTGACATCCCGCCGCATCTACCGGTCCACCCGGTCTTCCACGCCTCCAAGCTGGCTACATACACACCAGCCAAGAGTGGCGACTTACCAGGCCGGCGATCAGAAGACCCCCCTTCCATGGATGGTCACCAGGAAGTCTATTGGGTCGCAAGTATGGCAATAAGCCAATGCAGTACAAGGTCACCTTCAAACAGTGTGACCGTGACGACACATGATGGATTTCACGAGCAGACTTGCAAGCTTCCGCACTGCTTATCTTTGCAAATTACGAGAAGCAACGACTAGCCAAGGAAGCTTCAAAACCTGCCCCTCTCACCCGGACTTCGGTCCCTCCCTCCGATAGACAGCTTCGCCCTCGCAGGTAGGCTCGGTCTTTGAAGGGGGGAGGGGGGGGGGGGGGG